TGACCTGAGGAAGGTGTTAAATGTCACAGGCCACTTACTTTTCTGAGAACTGCCTAGCTGCCCACAGCCATCCCAGCATGAACTTTGTTACGTGACGTTAGTTCATATCATGGGGAAGACCTCAGCTACCAAACTGCTGAGAATCCTGGCCCAGGCAAGTTGACACAAAACCTATTACAGACATTAATGAAAACAACGATGAAAAATTAGGGCCAGATTCCATACTAACACATTTATATCTTTTTCAATAAATAAGACAACAATACATTAAATAATTCTGTGCGACAGACATGTCAAGATGAGGAAATGGAAGCTCTTAAAAATAAACTCACCTGACTACCAACAAAAGACTAAACAAGGTAAACTCGTTGCCATCAAGCCAGTTCTGACTAATAGCGACATTACAGGACGGGGTAGAACATACAAACCCAAACTCAGTGCCGCTGAGACAACGCTGACTCATAGTGACCATATAGGACAGAGTAGAACTGCCCCTGTGGGTTTCTGAAACGATAACTCTTCATGTGTGCAGAAAGCTTCACCTTTCTCTCACAGAGCCACTGGGGTTTTGAACTTCTGACTTGACAGTAAGCCAAACCATAGTCCACCGTGTCACCAGGCCTTGATACTGTTAATTCTGGTGACAAGAAGAGCAATTTACAATATGGGAACGTCGATACAACATGACCAAATTAAACGAAGACAGTGAGCAGTAGGTAAGAATAAAAGACCCACAAAACAAAGCAAATAAGAGCTGACTGCCATGAAGTTGATTCGGACTCATGGTGACCCCATTGGGTAGGGTAGAACTGCCTTTATGGGTTTCTGAGACTGTGACCCTTTACAAGAGTAGAAAGCTGCATCTTTGTCTCTCTGAGTTCCAGGTGATTCAACCTGCTAACCAAGTAGGAGCAGTCCAACTTATAACCACCGTGCCACTAGGGCTCACAAGGATAAAGAATTGTTATGATAAATGCTCATGGAAACAGCAGTCATGAGATCAAATGATGCATTGCATTGGATACATCTGCTACGTAAGACCTCTTTGAAGTGTTGAAGACCAAGGATGCTACTTTGAAGACTAAGGTGTGTCTCACTCAAGTCATGGTATTTTCAATATCTTCATATACTTGTGAAAGTTGGACAGTGTATAAGACAGACCAGAGACGAGTTGGTGCACTTGCATCGTGGGGTTGGTGAGGAATCTTGAAAATACCATGGACTGCCAACGAACAAACAGATCTGTCTTGGGAGAAGCACAGCCTTTCAGAATGGCTCTTCGAAGTGAGTATGGTGAGATGTTGTCCCATGTGCCTTGGAAAAATTATTAGGAGAGACCACTCCCTGGAAGACACCATGCTTGGTAGGGTAGAAGGTCAACAACAGTCAAAGAGGAAGGCTTTCAATGAGATGGACTGACGTAGTGGTGGCTACAGTGGGCTCAAGCATGACAATTGTGAGCACGGTGCGGGGCTTTGTTGTGTTGTACATTGTGTCACGGTGAGTTGAGGCTGACTAGATGGCACCTAGCAACAACATGGTAAATGCCATAATATATACAATTGCTCAAACACATTAACAGCCACACATTTAAATTGTTACAGGACATAGATCGATATGTCTGCTGTATAGATGCGGGAGAGCCAATGTGAGCACTTGTACCAGGAATACATAGGTAGAGTTATTAATGTTCGCATATAGATATTTGTATTACATATATATTCCATTATGTATATGTCTGCACACCCATTAATATATACAGTGGAACACACACATGTATAATAGAACATGCACTGTGAACTGGATCCACTTAGTGGCAGCAGACTTGTTTAGGTTTTGGTGAAGGGGTTTCAGTTATGGAAATCCTTAGACATACCCCATACCTCGTGGAATGGAGTCACAGGACTTGAACACAGCCTTAGAGGACAACTCGGCCAATCGGCATGACCTCGTTTATCGAGTTTCTTTTTCATACCCTAGCCTGGAGTCTTTAAAGCTTGAGGGCAACCATCGAAGGTACAACTATTAGTCATTTCCGGTCTGGAGGGAAAAAGTGAAGGAAACCAAGGAGCTAAGGCATTGACTAGTCCACAGGACTCATGGCTCTCCGAAACCGATCTTCTTCAGCCCAGGACTGGAAGAGCTGAGCGATGCCCTCCTACCTCTACCAACTGCCCTCCTACCTCTACCAACTGCCCTGCTCAATAGAAGGTCCTGGACAGAGTGGGAGGGAGCGCTTTAGACCCGAACTCAAATGTATCCCAAAGACTAGGCTTACTTGACCAAAGGAACCTTTAGATGATCACACGAACACATCCTCACAAAACGTGAAGCAACTCAGTCCAGGGGTCCACCCCCAGCTAAGGCATAGATTATCTATAAAATAAGCAGTGGCACCCATGTCCCTTCTAGGACTCAGCTGTATGAGACTCTAAGAGACAAAACTGGCCAACATCTGCCTGAAAGTAAAGAGGGCCGGTGGTAGTGCATGGCTGGAAACAGAACGGGACAGCAGGGTATCAATGTGTGACTGTAACTAATGCCAAAAAAAAAAAATCATTTGTGTATAAGTTATCGAATGGGAAACCAACTTTGTTGTGCAAACGATCACCTAAAA